AGTGTGTGTGAGTGTATAGAGGTGTGTAGGTGTGTGTGAGTGTATAGAAGTGTGTGTGTAGGTGTGTGTGTAAGTGTATAGAGGTGTGTGTGTAGGTGTGTGAGTGTATAGAGGTGTGTGTGTATGTGTGAGTGTATAGAGGTGAGTGTAGGTGTGTGTAAGTGTATAGAGGTGTATGTGTAGGAGTGTGTAAGTGTAAAGAGTTGTGTGTGTGAGTGTATAGAGATGTGTGTGTAGGTGTGTGTGAGTGTATAGAGGTGTGTGTAAGTGTCTAGAGGTGTGTGTAGGTGTGTGTAAGTGTATAGAGGTGTGTGTATGTGTGAGTGTATAGAGGTGTGTATGTGTGTGTAGGTTTGTGTGAGTGTATAGAGGTGTGTAGGTGTGTGTGAGTGTATAGAGGTGTGTGTAAGTGTCTAGAGGTGTGTGTAGGTGTGTGTAAGTGTATAGAGGTGTGTGTGTAGGTGTGAGTGTATAGAGGTGTGTGTGTAGGTGTGTGTAAGTGTATAGAGGTGTGTGTGTAGGTGTGTTGTAAGTGTAAATAGGTGTGTGTGTGAGTGTATAGAGGTGTGTGAAAGTGTCTAGAGGTGTGTGTAGGTGTGTGTAAGTGTCTAGAGGTGTGTGTAGGGTGTGTAAGTGTCTAGAGGTGTGTGTAGGTGTGTGTAAGTGTATAGAGGTGTGTGTGTAGGTGTGTAGAGGTGTGTGTGTATGTGTGTGTAAGTGTATAGAGGTGTGTGTGTAGGTGTGTAGGTGTGTGTGAGTGTGTGTGAGTGTATAGAGGTGTGTAGGTGTGTGTGAGTGTATAGAAGTGTGTGTGTAGGTGTGTGTGTAAGTGTATAGAGGTGTGTGTGTAGGTGTGTGAGTGTATAGAGGTGTGTGTAGGTGTGTGTGTATAGAGGTGTGTGTGTAGGTGTGTGTAAGTGTATAGAAGTGTGTGTGTAGGTGTGAGTGTATAGAGGTGTGTGTAGGTGTGTGTGAGTGTGTGTGAGTGTATAGAGGTGTGTAGGTGTGTGTGAGTGTATAGAAGTGTGTGTGTAGGTGTGTGTGTGAGTGTATAGAGGTGTGTGTGTATGTGTGAGTGTATAGAGGTGTGTGTAGGTGTGTGTAAGTGTATAGAGGTGTGTGTGTAGGAGTGTGTAAGTGTAAAGAGGTGTGTGTGTGAGTGTATAGAGGTGTGTGTGTGTGTAGGTGTGTGTGAGTGTATAGAGGTGTGTGTAAGTGTCTAGAGGTGTGTGTAGGTGTGTGTAAGTGTATAGAGGTGTGTGTGTATGTGTGAGTGTATAGAGGTGTGTGTAGGTGTGTAGGTGTGTGTGAGTGTGTGTGAGTGTATAGAGGTGTGTAGGTGTGTGTGAGTGTATAGAGGTGTGTGTAAGTGTCTAGAGGTGTGTGTGGGTGTGTGTAAGTGTATAGAGGTGTGTGTGTAGGTGTGAGTGTATAGAGGTGTGTGTGTAGGTGTGTGTAAGTGTATAGAGGTGTGTGTAGGTGTGTGTAAGTGTAAAGAGGTGTGTGTGAGTGTATAGAGGTGTGTGAAAGTGTCGAGAGGTGTGTGTAGGTGTGTGTAAGTGTCTAGAGGTGTGTGTAGGTGTTTGTAAGTGTCTAGAGGTGTGGGTAGGTGTGTGTAAGTGTATAGAGGTGTGTGTGTAGGTGTGTGTAAGTGTTTAGAGGTGTGTAAGTGTGTGTAAGTGTATAGAGGTGTGTGTGTAGGTATGTAGAGGTGTGTGTGTATGTGTGTGTAAGTGTATAGCGGTGTGTGTACATGTGTGTGTAAGTGTGTAGAGGTGTTTGTGTATGTGTGTGTAAGTGTATAGAGGTGTGTGTAGGTGTGTGTAAGTGTATAGAGGTGTGTGTAGGTGTGTGTAAGTGTGTAGAGGTGTGTGTGTATGTGTGTGTAAGTGTTTAGAGGTGTGTGTAGGTGTGTGTAAGTGTACGGAGGTGTTCGGGTGAGTAACCCTGGCAGCGCAACGCTGCTGGCGTCTCGTGCTGCCGCCTGTACCGCGCCTTGTCCATCAGAGGGCATCGCCTACCCACGGGTTGTGTGGCGTCAGGGTGAGAAGTGGAGGGTGGGGGAGGGGTCCGGGGATGGGGGGGGGGGCTGCTGCAGCGCTCAGCTGAAGCAGCAGCCGCTGAAAGTCACCGTAAACGTGAACACAATCAGTTAAGATCCGAAATGGTTTATTACGTCCTTCCAATGATTGCTAAGCCCGAATCCATCTTCTCGGTTGAAATTGTCGTTCATGAGGCGATCCACATATACAAACACAGAGACAGTATATAATTTAATGTTGGGTTTGTCTATGGCAGTATATAGTACGGTGTAGACTCGTGTGATGTAAGAGAATAAAGTTTAGATGGAAGCATATTATATAATTTTTACGACGTAGAATTGTAATGTATTACTTACTGTTAGTAACTCAGCTTATTGTAGAGTATAGTAAGTATACTGATGATACTATGTGGATTATACTTTAGTTGTTTACGCGTTGGTTTTAGTTGTTGCAGCTACATACTGTTAACACTCCTTCCCTTTATTAATGCTACCCCTATCCCCTCCCTTTGATGCTGAATTAGTACTATTCACATACCTGCATTTCCCATATCCTCTCCCTTTGATACTGCTAATCCTGCATAATGCACAGGCATATGTAGTACTAATCACATTCCTGCATTTCCCATAGAAATGCTAAATTCATCTTGATATGCAAATTCATTTGTCAAGGCGCCCAGCTTATATATATGCTCCAAGCTCGTGTGGTGTTTCATTCAGACGCTGTTGCCTCGACAGACCTGGTTTTCACCTGAGGACGGCTGCTTGCGTTGTGGCCGAAACGTCGTGAGAATTATTTTATTATGTTTTATTATTTTATTACTTCCCTTATACGTGACTTTACCGAAAGAACCGAGAAGATGAATCCCTGCAGTCACGAAAGCTTTAAATCGAGATGTAGAGGTGTTACGTATCGGGGTGTAGCAAGCCATTACGTTGCGGTGTCTACATCTCGGTCCGTGCATGGGGTGTCTACATCAACGTCCGCATACAGCTCCGCCCCTCGGGGGGCAGTTGGCTATATAAGGTGGTGTGCGTGAGAGAGCTCGAGGCAATCGTTGGAGCAGAAGAGCCAGTGAAGACTGAAGACCAGCTAGCTAGCCCTGGGACTACCCTGACTCGCTGCTCTTATAAGAGCCGAGCAGGGCAAGCCAGGGGCGACCTCAGAGCAGCGAGGTCTGTGTCCTTGTGAGGGCCAGGCTCGTGTGGCTGAGGGTCGGACCTGAGCCGAAGCTGGGCCAGGTCAGTGAGCCTCTACAGTAAAATGAAAAACAATTAAATATTCGTTTATTGTGTGGATGAGTGGGTGCGTGCATGTGTGGATGAGTGGGTGCGTGCGTGAGTGGGTGCGTGGGTGGATGAGTGAGTGGATGGGTTGATGCGTCATAGGTGAGTCGCTGAGTGAGTGAGTGGCTGGGTGCATGAGTGTGGGTTAGTGATTGAGTGGGTGGCTTAGTGAGTGGGTCAGTGTATGAATGGCTCAGTAGTTGAGTGGGTGAGTGTGAGTGGCTCGGTGGTTGAGTTCGTGGGTGGTTGAATGTTTTGGTGGTTGAATTATTGGGTGGTTGAGTGATGGGTGGGTGAATAATTACGTGGTTAGTGGGTGAGTTGCTGAGGGAGTGGCCGGGTGGTTGGGCGAGATGGTGGGTTAGAAATTGAGTGGGTAGCATGGTGAGTGGATGTGGATGTGACTGGGTGAGTAGGTGAGTGGCTGGGTGGTTGGGCGAGAGGGTGGGTTAGAAATTGAGTGGGTAGCATGGTGAGTGGATGTGGATGTGACTGGGTGAGTAGGTGAGTGGCTGGGTGAGTATGTGAGTGGATGGATGAGTGAGGGGGTGAGTGGGTTTGTGGATGAGTGAGTGTGTGGGTATGAATGAAACACCACCACGCTTGGAGCGTATATTTAAGCTGGGTTGGAAGGTGGGAAGGTCGCCTTGACAAAATAATTTGCATATCAAGAGGAATTTTGCATATTTATGGGAAATGCAGGTATGTGATTAGTACTACTTGTGAAATGCGTAGGAGGTGGGCGGGGGGTTTAAAGTCATATTATGCCCGTGCATTATGCAGGATTAGCAGCATCAAAGGGAGAGGATAGGGGTAGCATTAATAAAGGGAAGGAATGTTAATAGTATGTAGCTGCAGTAACTAAACCACCACGTAAACAACTAAAGTATAAACTACGTAGACATCTCTAACGGCCAAACTGCCAGTGGCGCGAGACGCGGGGGCGGTACAAGGTAACCACGCCCCTCCCCGTGATGTCACAGCCATGAGCTCCTCCCCCCATGCCCCCCCATGCCCCTCCCCCTCACCCCCCATGCCCCACCCCCTCCCCCCCATGCCCCACCCCCCTTCCCCCCCATGCCCCTCCCCCTCACCCCCCATGCCCCACCCCCCTCACCCCCCATGCCCCACCCCCTCCCCCCCATGCCCCTCCCCCTCACCCCCCATGCCCCACCCCCTCCCCCCCATGCCCCTCCCCCTCCCCCCCATGCCCCTCCCCCTCACCCCCCATGCCCCACCCCCTCCCCCCCGTGCCCCTCCCCCTCACCCCCCATGCCCCTCCCCTCACCCCCCATGCCCCACCCCCTCCCCCCATGCCCCGCCCCCCTCCCCCCATGCCCCACCCCCTCACCCCCATGCCCCGCCCCCTCCCCCCCATGCCCCACCCCCCTCCCCCCATGCCCCACCCCCTCCCCCCATGCCCCACCCCCCTCCCCCCATGCCCACCCCCTCCCCCCATGCCCCACCCCCTCCCCCCATGCCCCGCCCCCCCTCCCCCCATGCCCCACCCCCTCACCCCCATGCCCCGCCCCCCCCCCCCCATGGCCCACCCCCTCCCCCATGCCCCGCCCCCTCACCCCCCATGCCCCGCCCCTCACCCCCCACCCCCCTCCCCCCGCTGCTTCTTCCGCTGGGGTCGAGTGGAGGCGGCGCGCGCTGTGCATTGTGGGTTGGCGAGCGGCTGGTTTGGATTCCCGCTCACGGCCACCGTCAGTGGCGAGCGAAAACTTCTGAAGCGGCGGCTCGCTGGGCCTCCTCTAGGTCGACTCAGCCTGAAGGTGAGAACCTCGCGCGGTGTGTCCCATCAGCAGTGGCGGCGGCGGTGGGGGGAGACAGAGGAGGCGCCTGGCCCACAGCTCGGCCCTGCTGCTGCTGCTGTTGTGGTTACATTATAGTTGTGGTTACATTATAGTTGTGGTTACATTATAGTTGTGGTTACATTATAGTTGTGGTTACATTATAGTGTGGTAGATATAGGTGGTTACATTATAGTTGTGGTTACATTATAGTTGTGGTATACATTATAGTGTGGTTACATTATAGTGTGGTACATTATATGGTCATACAGTTGTGGTTACATTATAGTTGTGGTTACATTATAGTTGTGGTACATTATGTTGTGGTTATTATAGTTGTGGTTACCTACAGTTGTGGTTACATACAGTTGTGGTTAACATGATAGTTTGTGGGTTACATTATAGTTGTGGTTACATTATAGGTTGTGGTTTACATATAGTTTGTGGTTACATTATAGTTGTGGTTACAATTGTAGTTGTGGTTACATTGTAGTTGTGGTTACATTATAGTTGTGGTTACCTTGTAGTTGTGGTTACATGTATAGTTGTGGTACATTATAGTTGTGGTACATTATGAGTTGTGGTTACATTATAGTTGTGGTTACATGGTAGTTGTGGTTACATTATAGGTGTGGTTACATATATAGTGTGCTTACATTATAGTTTGTGGTTACATATAGTTGTGGTTACATTATAGTTGTGCTTACATTATAGTTGTGGTTATTGTTGTGATTATAGTTGTGTGGTTGTTACTGTGGTGGTTGTGCAGGTGGTGGCACACGAGTTAACCCATAGCACCAGGGTCTAGCCCTCCTCTTGTACCGAGCCAGGCAGAGCAGTCGGCCCATGGCACCTGAGTCTGGCCCGTGACCTCCTCCTGCACTTAGCCTGGCACAGCCGTCAAACCATGGCACCTGGGTTATTGTGGTGACGTCACCGCACGTAGTGGTGAATGGCGACTGTTGATGTGTGTTGGCTTGTGTGTGAGTGATGGTGAATGCGTGAGTATGATGGTGAGTATCATGGTGAGTGTGATGGTGAGTGTATCATGGTTGGTGAGTAATACTGAGTGTGAGTTTGACTAATTATCTTCCCTCTCGCTGTCTCTGCTTTCCCCCCTAACTACCTCGCCTGGTATACAGGAGTTTGTAGGTTCGATCCCGACCCTGATGCCTGCTGTATATTTGGAGTTTGCGTGTCTCTGTCTCTCCCCGTGGTCGCGTGGATTTTTCTCCGGGTCCTCCGGTTTTTCTCTCCACATTAAGAAACATTCGTTTAAAGTTTTGACTTAAAACTTTCGTGACTGCAGGAATTCATATGCTTGGTTCTTTTGGTAAAGTTACGTAAATAGAAAAAAAAAAATCTATTTTTTAAAATAAAAAAATATATAAAATAAGATAAATTGAAAATAATAAAAGCAATTTCTTATTTCTTTAATTTTCATTACTAATTTTTTTATTTTTTGGTTTTCTATTTACGTGACTTTACCGAAAGAACCAAGAAGATGAATCCCTGCAGTCACGAAAGCTTTAAATCGAAATTGTTTGGCTGCTATAAATTACACGTGATGATGAGCCACTAAGTTGAGCTATCATTGGTGGCAAGTCGCTTCTGAATAAGTAATATTTAAAATAACTTTTTTTTTTTTAAACACGCTTTAATTAAATGAAATGTACCACGACTCCAGGAAGTGGCCCCGAGGCTTGCCATAACGTAAGGGACCGTGGTGATTTACAGCCAACGTCAGTTGAGCGTGGACAATTAGACCCAAGCCGAAACATAACATATAAAATGAATGTTTAAAAATACTTTTTTTAATAGAATGTAGTTTAGGCATCAGTATGACATAAGTATACCAAGTTTGCAGTCGATACCACATTGGGAAGTGGGTTAAAATTGAGTTGCAAGATTTGAGGATACGACAACAACAGACAGAGTGAGTTAAATAAAAGTGCGTAATAAAAGAGATGTTTATCTCAGTGGACCTTACCTGGTAAAATTAAAATCGTTGACATTTTAGTCTAGTTTTATCTCTCCTTCCCGAGCACAACAACAAGCAGGAGTAGTGGGAGGAGCATTCTCCACTAAGTAGTGGTGACGACAGCACGGCGCTTGTGCCAGGATATGTGCACCACAGATATCCATCACATAGAGACCCATAGAGTCTTCACACATAGACCTATACACTCACTACGCACAGACCCTCAGACTTGCACAGAGAACCATAGACTCACCACAAAGACCCATATACTCATCAGACAGAGAACCACAGACTCAAACAGATACACAGACTCGCACAGAGCCCTATAGACTCACCAAACAGAGACATAGACTCACCACAGAGAGACACATAGACTCACCAGACAGATACCCATAGACTCAATCGTACCCATACTCGCACAGAGACCCACAGACTCGCCACACATACCCATCTAATTACCACACAGAGACCCATAGACCTACACAAAAGCGCATAGACTCATCACACAGAACCACAGACTCAAACACACCCACAGACTCGCACAGAGGTCTATAGACTCACCACACAAACACACGGACTCACCCCACAGAGACCCATAGACTCACCCCACAGAGACCCATAGACTCACCCCACAGAGACCCATAGAGTTATACAAAAACGCATAGACTCATCACACTGAGAACCACCGACTCAAACAGACTCACACAGAGCCCTATAGACTCACAAAGCAGAGACACATAAACTCACCACACAGAGACACATAGACTCACCTCACAGAGACCCACGGACTATCACAGAGACCCATAGACTCACCCCACAGAGACCCATAGACTCACCCCACAGAGACCCATAGAGTTATACAAAAACGCATAGACTCATCACACGGAGAACCACCGACTCAAAAAGACTCACACAGAGCCCTATAGACTCACAAAGCAGAGACACATAAACTCACCACACAGAGACACATAGACTCACCTCACAGAGACCCACGGACTATCACAGAGACCCATAGACTCACCCCACAGATCCATCGACTCACAGAGAGACCCAAGGGCTCGCACGTGAATGTGTGGTGATTTAGTTGAAGGTGGAGGGGGGTTACCAGCCCCTCGCACCCATCCAGAACTCCCTGTGGCCACTGGTGGCTGCGGGCGACGTGAGGTTCACAGCTGGTCAGGGTTGGCGCCCCCCCCCCCCCAAAATGGCATTTCTCACAACCACCGCTGCATTATCAACCTTCACCATTCGCCAATAAGTGACAGTGACGTCACCACAGCGCCTGTGCCAGGCCAGGTGCACTTTGAAGCCACGTGAAGTGTCGAAGGCTCGCTGACCGGAGGTCCTAGAACAGACCCAGGTGCCATGGGTTGGCTGACTGAGATGACTGGCAGCTGTGCCAAATTGCTGCATATTTATCATCCGGCGTTCCGCTCGTTGTTGTGAGCGTCACTCCTCCGTTGTTGTTGGAGGGCGATTGTCGCCAACTGCCAAGTAGAAGCATCCATCACGAGCCTCCCTGCAGAGGCCGATCTCGACACCACTGGTACCAGTCGTCGGCAAAGCCCACTCAGCTCCACATCCTCCCGTACTGTATCAGTCAACCTCCACTCCAGCCCATGCCGTGCCCGCCCAGCTCCCTCCATCCACCCACATTCTCACTTACCGGCTTACTCACGCACTCACCCACTCATATCTGCTCACGCACCCACGCATGAAATTTTAAATGCAGGCTACGCAAAGCATCGTGATCAGTTTACACCAAAATCTACTTTCAACCACTTAAACCACATATTCGTAAATGATGCGCACCCTAATCAGCCACTATGGCTGTGTGCAGAGTGTTGTGATGTCACGTAGTACGACGTTTTTCTTGCCCCCCCCCCCCCGTTTTAACGCAGCGTCTATCTATGGCCTCGTTACATTGGCCTTAATGGACGCGTGGTGATGGTGAAAGATGATTCGGCGGTGGACACTGAATTACCGGAGCCCCATTTAACATTCAGGTGACACGGGGCACGGTACGTGAAGAACCTCTTATGTCCTGTAAGCAGACTTCTCTGCGTGCACAGACAACCGCCAACGCAGCCTCGCCTGCCGGAGGAGCTCGCTGATGATCGGACAGTGTTCAGATCTCTCAAGGATCTGTGAGCTACTCGCACACAAAGATCCCCGTGTAGCCTTTAACAGACTGTTGGGGCAAGTGCTTTATAACATCATCAAAGGGGCGCTGCAATACGATGCAATCAAAATCACCGATCAGAGATTTTCCCATATATGGTCTTTGTTGATTGTGAATCGATACTAATTGTATTGATTCGACTCAAAATGTCCGTATTTTATCTGAAATTTTCTGCGTTTCACAGATCATACAAAGCAACGGTATTGATGCCTGGTTTGTATGTACTTTTATTTTGTAGTGTATCAGACTTTTGTATTAAATCGCTCTGCAAAAAGTCATTTTGTATGCTAATAAATCAATGTTATGCTAATGCAAAATTTCATCATAGCCGCGACTCGGTTTACTCCGATGTGCAATGTCATCTTTATTTCGATCCTGTGAGTGTACAATTTTATATTAAACTTCATTTACTGAGTGAATACAAGACCACTTATATGCTGATGTCCATTTTTATCATAGCTGTGATTCATTCAGCCATTCACTCACTCAGCCACAAACTCACTCAGCCACACACTCACTCAACTACTCAGCCACTCACTCACTCAGATATTCACTCACTCAACCACTCACTCAATAATTAACTCAACCACTCAACCAATCATTCAACCACCCACTCACTCAATCACTCAACCATCACGCTCTCACTCACTCAACCATTCACTCACTCAGCCACTCACTCAGCCACTCACTCACTCAGTCACTCACTCAGTCACTCAACCACTCGCTCACTAAACCACTCGCTCATTCAACCGCTCGCTCACTCAACCATTCACTCACTCAACCACTCGCTTGCTCACTCAACCACTCACTTGCTCACTCAACCACTCACTTGCTCACTCAAGCACTCGCTCACTCAACCACTCACCCAACCACTCGCTCAACGACTAACTCTACCACTCACTCACTCAATCCCTCACTCAACCTTTCACTCAACCCCTCACCAAACCACTCACTCAACGACTCACCAGAATCCTCTCGGCTTGGGGACTCACTTAACCACTCACTTAACCACTCACTTAACCATTCACTTAACCACTCACTAGAGCAACCACTCACTCACTTAATGACTTACTCAACCACTCAACCAATTACTTTCTCACTCACTCAGCCACTCACTCCTTCACTCAGCCACTCACCCTTTCACTCAGCCACTTACTCATTTAGCCACTCACTCAGCCACACACTCAACCACTCAGCCGCGCACTCACGAAGCTACTTACTCACGAAGCTACTTACTCACTCAACCACTCACTCACTTAATCACTTACTAAACCACTCAACCATCACTCTTTAACTCTCTCAACCATTCACTCAATCAGCTACACTCACTCAACGACTCACTAACTTAACCGCTCAGCCGCTCAGTCACTCTATCTCAATCACTCAACCACTCGCTCACTCAGCCACTCACTCCCTCAACCACTAACTGACTGAACCACTCACTCAACCACTCACTCATTCAACCATTCCCGAATTCATTCAACCAGTCACTCAACCATTATGTCGCTGGACGAGTCCCACCTTGATGGGTCTGCGAAATTTATTTCCAGAGCTATTGCCAAAAAACCACAAACATCCCAGAATCCTCTCGGTTTGGGGTCCAAATGTTGTCGCTTAATATATCCCATGAGAAACATTGCATTGAATAAATGTGATTGGATTCTCCCCGCCTGGACGAGCGGAATTGAATGGTGCAACTGGTTTTCCTGTGCTGTGTTAATTCAGATATTTGCATGGCTGCTTTTGTTTTATTTTGTGAATAGCAAAAAACATTAATCCCCATAATACATATTGTTTTATTGGTCGCTCGTCCATTCCACTTCCCACAGCTTAACCACTCATATATTTGGATGACTCGACGAGGCGAGCAGTACGAGTCCCACCTTGATAGGTCTGCGACATTTCCTTCCAGAGTTTTTGCCAAAAAACCACAAACATCCCAGAATCCTCTCGGTTTGGGGTCCAAATGTCGCATATTATATCCCATGAGAAACATCGCATCGAATAAATGTGATTTGATTCTCCCTGCCTGGACGAGCAGAATTGAATATGTAAGCATCAGGGTTTGGATCAAACCTACAACCTCCTGTATACCGGGCGAAGTAGTGAACTCGTCACCCGGGTCCGCCTAATCCATTCCCGTATCTCTACTTCTGTGTATCTGCTACAGGCGGATGTCTCAGATTGCCAGCACCATGTGATGGGAGCTCCAGGGCATGCTGCGTGCTCGCCAGGAGGGGCTGGGCAAGATGGCGTAGTCGCTGGAGCAGCTGCGGGCGCGGCACCGCCGCTCTCACCCTGGCGGAGTGCAGCAACACAGTGGGGCGGCACCAGCGGGACACTCTGGACAACGCAGCCAAGGTACGTGCCAGCCACTCACTCATCCACTCACTCACTCAGCCACTCATACAACCACTCACTCACTCATCTACTAACTTAAATCACTCACTCACTCAACTACTCACTCACTCAACCACTCACTCAACCATTCACTCAACCATCCACTTACTCAACCACTCAATCAATCACTCACTCAGTCATTAACTCAACCACTCACTCAACCACACACTCATGCGCTCAAACACTCACTCATTGGTTCAAACACTCACTCATTCAAATACTCATTCAACCACTCACTCACTGAACCACTCACTCGCTCACTCAACCACCCGCTCGCTCACTGAACCAATCGCTCCATAAATCACTCATTCAGCCACTCACTCAACCATTCACTCACTCACTCACTCAGCCACTCACTCAACCATTCAGTCACTCAATCATTAATTCAACCACTCACTCACTCAACCCCTTACACACAGGCTCATCACCTGTGTCTCAACCATCTTACTGAGTAACATAACTCTTTTTTTAGAAGTGACCTGGCCACAAATGATAGGTCAACAACGTGCCTTATGTGGAAATTTATAGCAGCCAACTACTCTAAACGCCTGTTTCTAAATGTGTAGGGAAAATCCAGAGGACCAGAATAAAAATCCACTTGACCACGGAGAGAACATGCAAACTCCAAATACACAGGTGTCAGGGTTGGGATCTAACCGACAATCTCCTGTATACCAGACGAGGTAGTTAACATTGTATCCGGGCAAGCCGTACATCGAGCTGGAGTGGACCATGCGGCCCATCCCTATCGCGTAAGTGGCTCCCACTGTTGTTATTGTGTTCATATGTGTGTGGTCTGCTTGTGTGTATGCGTGTGCCGCACTGCGCTATGAACCCAACATGACCAAGCTGTTGCCCCGCTCGCCCGACTCGTTGAGAGGCTTGCCCACCCCCCAGGGCGTTGTCGTGAAGATACCGCTGGGAGGAAGAATATCTCACAATACTGGAAGAGGTGAGGACTACACAGTGATTAACTGAGTGGGTCTGTGAGTGAGTTAGTGGATGAGTCGGTGGGTGAGTCGGTGGGTGAGTGGGTGGGTCAGTGGTTGAGGGAGTAGGTGAGTGAGTGTGTTAGAGAAGTGGGTGTGTTGAATGTGAGTGAATAGATGAGTGTGTGGAGGAGTGGATTGTTGAGCGAGTCGTTGGGTGAGTGAGTAGGTGGGTGTGGGTTAGAGATTGAGTAGGTGGTGGGTGATTGTGTGAATTAGTGGGTGGGTGGGTGAGTGAATGGTTAGAAGTGATTGATTAGGTGAGGGAGTGGGTGAGAGGTGGATTGGTGAGTGGATGAGAAAATTGATGGGTTAGAGATTGAGTGGGTAACTAGGTGATTGGGAGGGTGAGTGGGTGAGTGGCTTAATGGGTGAGTAAGTCGGTGGGTGAGTAGGTGAGTGCTTGGATAAGTAAGTGAGTGTATGGGAGCATGAGTGGATGGTTGAGTAGGTGGGTGAATAGGTGAGTGGGTGGTGGGTGGGTGAATTAGTGAGTGACTGTGTGAGTGAGTGCGTGGGTAGGTCAGTGCGATATTGTGTGGGGGAGTGGGTGAGTGAGGGGTTGAGTGAATAGGTTAGTGGGCGGGTGAGTAGATTGTTGGGTGAGTGGGTGGGTGGGTGAGTCAGTTAGTGGGTGGGTGAGTGAATATCGAAGGTTGAGCAGGTGAGTTGTTAGTGTGTGATTGGGTGGGTGGGTGAGTCAAAGAGTGGGGCACCACGGTGGCGAGATGTTAACTACCTCACCTAGTATACAGGAGTTTGTGAATTTGATCCCATCCCTTGCACCTGTATATTTGGAGTTGGCATGTTCTCCCTGTGGTCGTGTGGATTTTTCTCCGGGTCCTCCAGGTTTTCTCTCCATATTTAAAATCAACATTCATTTAGAGGATGTGGCTGCAATAAATGTCTCCATGATAATCCACTTCGTTAACCTATCATTTGTAACCAGGTCACTTCTGAAAAATATTAATTTAGTTATCTGAACCAGAGGTCGCAACCGGGTACCCGATACCCGTACCCTACCCGATACCTGGCTACCCGTACCCGGCCGGGTACGGTACGGGTAGCCGTTTGCGACCCTGGGCGGCCGGGTACGGGTACGGATAGGCCGTGAGTCACTGGTGAGTAACCGTTTGTCACTCGTTTCGGGTAGGGTACGGGTACGGGTAGGGAACGGGTACCCGTACCTCTGATCTGAACCTTTTCTGGTAAAATACATTTTTTTTAAAATTTTGTTTATTGGGTGGGTGGGTGGGTGAGTGGGTAGGTGGGTTATTGAGTGATTTGGTGGGTAGGTTAGAGATTGAGTGGGTGAATGGGTGGGTGTGTGAGTGGGGGTGTGATTGGTTGAGTAGGTGAGTGGGTGAGTAAATTGTTGAGTGAGTGGATTAGAGATTGAGTGGGTGGCAGGGTGAGTGGGTTTGTGAGTGGGTTGGTGGGTGGTTTTGAATGGGTGAGTTGGTGGAGTGCCGTGGTGGCGAGCTGTTAACTACCTCGCCTTTTATACAAGAGGTTGTGAGGTCGATCCCGACCCTGACACCTGTATATTTGCATGTTCTCCCCATGGTCGCGTGGAATTTTCTCCAGGTGCTCCGGGTTCTCCCTCCACATTTAAAAAGATGCAATTATAAAATTTGGCTGCTATAACTTTATACGTGAAAAGCCACTTAATTGAGTTGAATATTTGTGGTCAAATGGTTTTTGAAAAATATCTATATAGCTGAGTGCCTTACCTGGTAAAATAAAAAAGCGTAATTTACATTTAGTGTGCAGATGAGTGGCTGGGTGGGTGAGTGGATGAGTGAGTGCGATGTTTGATGGGTAGTTGGTCAGTGTCTGGGTGAGTGAGTGTGGGCTAGAGATTGAGTGGGTGGCTTGGTGAGTGGGTGAGTGTGTGCTTGGCTCGGTGGTTGAATGAATGGATGGTTGAGTTAGTGGGTGGGTGTTTGAGTGTGTGTTATCGTGGGTGGGAGAGTCAGAGAGTGGAGTGCCATGTTGGCAAATTGTTAACTATCTTGCCTGGTATTTTTAAGTTCGTAGGTTCGATCCAAACCCTGCTTCTAAAAACAACCTATATAGCTCAGCGGGCCTTACCTGGGGATTTTTTTTTTTAGATTTAGTTAAGGGTGTTGGTGAGTGGGCGGGTGGGTGAGTGCATCAGTGTGGGTTTGAGATTTAGTGGGTGGCTTGGTGAATGGGTAAGTTCGAGTAACTTAGTGGTTGAGTTAGTGGGTGGTTACGTTAGTAGGTGATTAAATTAGTGGGTGGGTCAATAATTACGTGGGTAGTGGGTGAGTGGCTGAGTGGCTGAGGGAGTCGGCGGGTGGTTGGCTGGGTGGGTGGGTGGGTTATAAATTGAGTAGGTGGCAGGGTGAGTGGATCTGAAAGTGGGTGAGTGAGTAGGTGCACGGCTGGGTGAGTTAGTGAGTGGATGGTTGAGTGAGTGGGTGAGTGTGTGGGTGCATGGATGTGTGGGTGGGTGAGTGTGTGTGGGTAGGAGGTTAGGTGGGTAGTGCGTGAATGGATGGGTTAGAAATCGAGTGAGTGGGTTAGTCACTGGGTGAGTGAGTGGATGGGTGGGTTTGTGAGCTTTGGTTAAGAGATTGAGTCAGTAGTAGGGTTTGTGTGTGGTTTAGAGATTGAGTGTGTGGTTGGGTGAGTGGGTGGTTGGGTGAGTGGGTGGGTTAGAGATTGAGTGGCTCGGTGAGGGAGTATTGGGTGGGTGAAGTGAGTTGGTGGGTCGGTGAGTGCGTGGGTGGGTGATTCAGTAAGTGGGTGAGTGAGGGGTTTGGTGAGCGATGGGTTGAGTGGGTGTCTTTTTTGTTCGTGAGTTTGTGGGTGGGTGAGTTGGTCAGTGAGTGGTTGGGTGAGTAAGTGGGTGGGTGAGCAAGTGAGTGAATGGGTGTGTTGGTAGGTGAGTGTGTAGCTTGGTGAGTGTTCGTAGGGTGAGTGGGTCGGTGAGAAAGTGGTTAACGGAGTGAGTGGTTGGGTGGGTGGGTGAGTTGTTGACTGAGTGGGGTCAGCGAGTGGGTGGGTGAGTTGATGTGGGAGGTTGAGTGGGTACGTTAGCGTGTGAGTGATTGGATGGGTGAGTCAGAGAGTGAGGCGCCAAGGTGGTGAGACGTGCACTGCCTCGCCTGGTATACAGGAGGTTGTGGATTCGATCCTGACCCTGTCGCCTGTATATTTGGAGTTTGCATGTTCTACACATGGTCACGTGGATTTTGCTGCAGGTCCTCCGGGTTTTCCCCTCTGCATTTAGAATCAACATGCGTTTAGAAGATTTGGCTGCAATAAATGTCTATGTGATAAGCCACTTCGTTTATCTATAATTTGTTCACAGGTCTATTCTGAAAAGGATCTATATAGCTCAATGGGCCTTACCTGGGGAAATAAAAAGTAGTTTAGTTTAGGGGGTAGGTGCCTCGTTGGGTCGGTAGGTCTGTTGCAGGTCGAGTAGGTGGCAGGGTGAGTGGGTGAGTAGGTAAGTGGCTGGGTGAGTGGGTGGACTGGTGAGTGTGTGAGTTAGAGATGGAGTGGGTGGATGGGTGGGTGTATGATTGGGGGAGTGAAATGGTGAGTGGATGGGTGAATGAATTGTTGAGTGAGTGAGTCAGTGAGTGGGTGTGTAGGTGGGTGCGTAGGTAAGTGGTTAGCAAGGTGTGTGGGTCTTTGAGTGGGTATGTGGCTGAATGGGTATGTGGCTGAATGGGTATGTGGCTGAATGGGTATGTGGCTGAATGGGTATGTGGCTGAATGGGTATGTGGCTAAGTGGGTATGTGGCTGAGTGGGTATGTGGCTGAGTGGGTATGTGGCTGAGTGGGTATGTGGCTGAGTGGGTATGTGGCTGAATGGGTATGTGGCTGAATGGGTATGTGGCTGAATGGGTATGTGGCTGAATGGGTATGTGGCTGAGTGGGTATGTGGCTGAATGGGTATGTGGCTGAATGGGTATGTGGCTGAGTGGGTATGTGGCTGAGTGGGTATGTGGCTGAATGGGTATGTGGCTGAATGGGTATGTGGCTGAATGGGTATGTGGCTGAATGGGTATGTGGCTGAGTAAGTGGGTATGTGGCTGAATGGGTATGTGGCTGAGTGGGTATGTGGCTGAGTGGGTATGTGGCTGAGTGGGTATGTGGCTGAATGGGTATGTGGCTGAGTGGGTATGTGGCTGAGTGAATGGGTATGTGGCTGAGTGAATGGGTATGTGGCTGAGTGAATGGGTATGTGGCTGAGTGGGTATGTGGCTGAGTGGGTATGTGGCTGAGTGGGTATGTGGCTGAATGGGTATGTGGCTGAGTGGGTATGTGGCTGAGTGGGTATGTGGCTGAGTGGGTATGTGGCTGAGTGGGTATGTGGCTGAGTGGGTATGTGGCTGAATGGGTATGTGGCTGAGTGGGTATGTGGCTGAATGGGTATGTGGCTGAGTGGGTATGTGGCTGAGTGGGTATGTGGCTGAGTGGGTATGTGGCTGAGTGGGTATGTGGCTGAATGGGTATGTGGCTGAATGGGTATGTGGCTGAATGGGTATGTGGCTGAGTGTGTATGTGGCTGAGTGGGTATGTGGCTGAATGGGTATGTGGCTGAATGGGTATGTGGCTGAATGGGTATGTGGCTGAATGGGTATGTGGCTGAATGGGTATGTGGCTGAATGGGTATGTGGCTGAATGGGTATGTGGCTGAGTGAGTGGGTATGTGGCTGAGTGAGTGGGTATGTGGCTGAATGGGTATGTGGCTGAGTGAGTGGGTATGTGGCTGAATGGGTATGTGGCTGAGTGGGTATGTGGCTGAGTGGGTATGTGGCTGAGTGGGTATGTGGCTGAATGGGTATGTGGCTGAATGGGTATGTGGCTGAATGGTATGTGGCTGAATGGGTATGTGGCTGAGTGGGTATGTGGCTGAATGGGTATGTGGCTGAATGGGTATGTGGCTGAGTGGGTATGTGGCTGAGTGGGTATGTGG